CCACTCGCTACAAGACTCGGTAGAACACGTGCTACAAGACTCGGTAGAACACTTGCTACAAGACTCGGTAGAACACTTGCTACAAGACTCCGTAGTACATTCGCTACAAGACTCGGTAGAACACTTGCTACAAGACTCGGTAGAACACTTGCTACAAGAATTTAACACTTGTTCTTCTGTGTAATGCAAATATAACTGTAGAAAAATACCAAGGTATGCACTGGGATAATAAGTGAATAGATCAGATATGGTTTCAATTCAGTTTTCAACATATCTAGCAACATACCCAACCGGTGTTCTAGTTCCAGATGCTGGAGCAGGACTGCCTTTTGCTCTCTTGGATGGCGGTCCATCATCTATTCCTTTACGTTTATCTGAAATAGTTAAGTTGAATATGTGTTTGAAAGTACCCCCAAACTTGCATTATATGTGATCACTGTATCTTACACTGATCCCAGTATGATTGCTATCCCATTGGCTTTTCACTTGCGACAGATTTGAATTTGTAACAAGTTGACACTGAGAATGGAATCCAGTCACACCCTGACCTGATCATATCGACTCTCGAATTGACGGGAAATACTGCTATATTTTATTAAAATTGATCCAATTTCAAGGAGTTTGAGTTTAAGTTAATTATATCAAAGTCACATCTTGCAATGATGATATTCTTCAGAGCAAACATCAAGTCATTTTCACCAACTGAAAATCACAACCAGTGAAAAATTATCAAAAACTTACAAAAAACTACTGTGCGTAAAATCTTTTATTTCAAACAGCATCCCTAATAGATGCCAAACCCATTCATTTTGAAAAATTGTGAATCGAACATTCACCATGTGTAGATACTCTAATTGAAGCTGTTAACCCCTCTGTTGCATTGTATGATTTTAATAGAAGCCATGGTTTCTGATACAAATTGTACTTTGGGATAGTTGTTGAGACTCTAGAAAACAGTGTCTTGTTGAAGCAGTGTAACAAGATTACTCCTACATGTGTAACATATATAAATTTGGTTGCACAGGATTACTGCAAAGTTGAGTTTGTGCTAAATTTCTCAACTTCAGCTGTTTTTGCTGGCTCTTCAACCAGTGTTCCACAGCAGCTAGTACAGAGCCCATAGAACTACTTGGTAAAGTAGAGCACATTCTGGCAACATAGAATGTTTTATGATGTAGCCACCCCTCCCCCCCCCCCCGAATAACTATACTTACTGTGCTGCAATTTACTAGCTACTGCAGTTAAAGTTGATGATGTCACTGCTGCATCTAATAACGTGGTTGGTGTACCACTTCTACTACTACTACCACTAGCAGATGGAGATGCCCTGTTACTAGACTTCTTTTGACTTTTTTCAGATTTCTAAAACAAAACAAAACAATACTTTCATTATGTTTATGCAATTACCCTATTATGTACAAATGTCCATACCATGATAATTGTATATAAACCAACACAATATGATGAGATTATAATAATATCACCAAGTATTATGAAAATAAAATAGTGACTGTATCAACAGCCCGAACTCCAAGGAAAAAAAAATTGTTTTTTTTGCGATATTATTTGGATTCAATGAGAATATGAGTTCCTGTCACAATTAATGATGTTCTTATTAAATGTTTATAAAATGTGAATTTAATTTTTACCAAATTACATTCTGTGATCTTAATATGTTTTTTACTATATTTATGTATGATTTTTTGTTGCTTCATTGACTCGCAGGAAATGGGCATAACTAGTAACATCCTGAATAATCTATGCATGTCAGTGACGCATCATAACAGCTTAGAAGACACACATGGTTTGTTGTAACATACCTGGATAAAGAGAGCAGATTTGAGTTCTGTTTTGTCTAAATCATCGCTGTCATCAGAATCAGAACCACTGTCACTACTTTGAAATACTTCTAAAATTAAAAAATATATAGTTAGTTATATTGTGAATAGCTTAATTTGAACAGCAATCAAGTTTCATGACTATGTGAATCACAAATTGCCATGGTGAGAGTGAAAAAATGAAATGAAAATTTCAAAGGTTTCAAAGATCACCTTTTTCTTTAGTAGCTTCTGCTTTCTTATTTGCATCCTCTTCTTCGTTGCCTTCTTTGTTCTCCTCATTCTCCACATCAGACTCTTCATCCTCGTCACCTGACAACTCCTGATCCAACCCTTTCAGATCATCCTTGGTGGTTTCTAGTTCACCTTCACTATATGTATAAAAACAAAAGTAAACATGAGGTTTAACATTAGAGGGCGGTCTGCAAGCAATCTACAGGTCATCATTTGTGGTCTCCAGATCACATTCACTATACATGTATGTGTAAAAACAAAAGTAAACATGAGGTAGAACATTAGAGGGCAGCCTGCAAGCAATCTACAGCTCATCATTTGTGGTCTCCAGTTCATCTTCACTATGTGTAAAAACAAAAGTAAACATGAGGTATAACATTAGAGGGCTGCCAGCAACCAATTTTCAAATCATCCTTTGTGGTTTCTAGTTTACCTAAACTATATGTATAAAAACAAAAGTAAACATGAGTTATGAGATTGGAGGGCAACAAACATAACCACAAGGTATGACACTAGATCAAAGCCTGTATTCAACACTTCAATTAATCTTGTGATTTGTTCGCATTTACTGTGCGTATAAAAAAACAAAAGTAAACAATATATAACACTAGAGGGCAGTCTACACCAAAGACTAAAAAGGATTGTAAAGTAAGATGCATGGCATTCCTCAAGGCAACAAATAAAAATAGGAACTCACCTCGACGCTTCAGACAAATAATCAAATTCTCTGCCATCAAAATCTCCTTCATCTGATTCCTCCAATGGCTCCTCTTCATCATCAGATTCTTTTTTCTTTTTCTTTTTTGTTGATTTTTCTTTAGATTTTGGTTTTGTCTTTGGTTTCTTTTTTTTCTCTGGTAAAAAAATTTAAAAACCTAATGCAGTCGATCAGTTAGACAAGCATATAGTTTTAGGTGTTTTTTTCAATAAAATAAAATATGTGAATGTATAAATGGAAAAAACTGGGTTACTGGGAAACAAACTTGTGTCCTATTGAAAGGGTTCCCTTGTTTATTAATATTAATGAGAATTTCAATGAAGTAACAAATTAGCATAAATTACATATCACAGAATGGGTGGAGGAATATAGACCAGTTATGCTCTTTCATTAGAGCCAACAGTGGGAATACTATGGTCATTGGATGTTCAGTGAAATTCCTGTAACTTTTGTGTAGTCCAGGCAGAAAAACGTAATTTGGAAAGTTAAGGACTCAACAGCATCTATTGTTGTTATTCTAAAAGTGATGTATAGCCTAGTATCTTTAGTGCATTTTCAATGCTATCATGCAATGCCACTATAACAAAAATATTATGAAATGCAATCAGGAGAAATTTCAGTTTTGACACAGTTTCTAATAAACTATCGCAACAAATGTTTGTTTATGAAAATCTAACTCCAATTATGACCTCAACGCTGATTGGTGGATAATTATTGAGCCTGTCAATCATTGCATCACGCACTGAGCCCCGAACCGATGACAATCATAACTGATGTCGCAAGAGGGCGTCTACAAGAGTCACAAGTGTCTTGTCTACCTGGCTTTGGCTAATTAATACATTCAAATAATATTTTATTTAACGAAAAAAAAAAAAGACTGTATGCAAGTCTAGTGTTGAGTAGAATCCTTGCAGAAAAGCTCAAAATAAGTAATGAATTTTTTCCTTTTCTTCTTCTTCTTATTATTAGTATTTAACATCAAGCCTTTAATGATATGTAACATTCAGTGGCGTGAGTGAACGAGTAATATAGGAATACTGCATAATGGCGTGCTACATCTACCATATTTGCTCTATTAGAAGCGCATCACTAAAAGATGCACACAAAAACCAAAAATGACATTTATTGTACGGTATGCTAGCACATATAATATTCATTTTTGACCATATGGAGACACACTTGTCATTCACGTAAGTGTATGCGATACTAACAGAGCAAAAAACCCAGCTGCATTATCTACTGGGTATACAGTATTTAAATGAACGATGGAATGCAAAAGGAATTATCTAGACAGAAAAATCGTTATTATCCAGTTTCACTTTATTTTACTTCTAGTGGACATAATATTACAGATATGTCTATTTCTGGTGTATGTGTTGTCAATGGCAACGAAAAACAGCTCAGGCGTGTCGAGGAGGAAACTATATTCCGCTTTGGAACTAAAGAACCCCATGGAATTAACAAACAGTTCAACTCATTTGTTGAGCTTACTACCTAAGACACGTTTTTGTTCTATTGTGGATTTTTTTGTGATTCTTATTTATAGTTCATGCGTGTTCTTACGTTCCTATGTTCTACCTGTACGTGTATGTGTTGTCAATGGCAACGAAAAACAGCTCAGGCGTGTCGAGGAGGAAACTATACGTTTTAACATTTTCTTCTATGCTATCGATAAAGAGCCATTGCTCGATATGTCTAGCTATTTTTAATAGATATTTAGGACTACGATTACTGAATATTATCTTCTATATATCATATTTATCAGTCCGAGCAGCGTTTATTTATTTATAAACTACTATTAGCTGCACTATCTACTGGGTATACAGTATTTAAATGAATGATGGAATGCAAAAGGAATTATCAGATGTATAATCTGTTAATGGAACAAATTAAAGTATATCATCTTTATGATGAATGTACGATATCTGTTAATTGTCCACCTACTTAAGTATTCAGTAGAACAGCCTTTCTTGAAACCAGAAAATTTATGAATATGTTAACAATTCAGGGGTTCAAAACAGTGATCATCCCAGGAAAATGGCATGGTAATCACCTATATTTTATTTGTTTTGTTATCAGAGACTGTAGAGTAGGGAACTTCTATATAACGCAATCATATCTGAGAGGTGAACAGAAATGCATAATTACCTACGCCATCTTCATCGTCACTATCCTCATCTTCTTCCGACATGAATCCTTGATATTCGTCTCCCTCCGTGATTTGCTGAAACATGTGATGAAAACGTAAATGTAAATAGCGTTTACGTCTAATCCTTTAGTTAAAACGTGTACGTGAAGAGGTCACATGACACACAGAGCTGTAATTAGGAAAGTAGTGCAATTGTTGGAAATGAAATCCTGTACCGTATTTGCTTTATTAGAAGTGCACATAAACTAGCATTTATTGCATTGTAGGTCATTAAAATATGACTTATTATGATAAATGACATCCCTCTGTCATTTATGTAAACATTTATACTATTAATAGAACAAATACAGTATAATGCATACTTTGCAGACCACTATACTCATCATCATCATATTTCTTTCTTATTTTCCCCCCTTGATTTTATTTGTGAAAGTAACAAAAGTCTACTTTGGGGATCAAAATGTGCAATAAGTCCAGAAAAGTTATCTCCCATGATATTAAAGCAGCATACCATAAATCATATTGATCTAATTCAGAGATTATGCAAAGTGCATACAGGTTCAGTTTTAAAGATATTGTAAATCGCATGAATTTCGCTACTCAGTGAAAATTATGCATGTTGGTGGCAGTGAGTATTGAGGATTTATGACCTGAAGTGACAGTGACTTTCTTGTACTTTTATCTTCACAAATGTTATAACATTTGAAATCGTGAAAATTTCTAGCCCCTTAATAATGACAGTACTGTATAATACTTTGCTTGGAATTTATTTTTTTGCTGCAGGGGTGATTAGTGATATTATAAATTTTATCCCATATTTTACATTCAACCTACCAAACATCTGTGAATATAAATTCTATACGAAACACCCAAAAAATCTTTTCAGCGTAAATTTATTCCAGCTAAAATAAAATATTTTACAGTATACAGACCACGGAAACAACAAAGTAGTAGACTTACCAATCCATCAATGTTTTTAATTTGTTGTAAAGTTACTTTACCGTCTTCTTCATCATCCTCTTCCTTCAATCTTTTTTTCACCATAATTGAAAAGTAATTCATAACTTTGTCTCTTCTGCAAAACACAAGAATAAGAAATTAACAACATAACACTTACGCACATGTTAACAAGCTATTTGATAATCTCCAGTCTACATTGATATTCACAGATTAATATTCCTAAGAACAAAAACAATATTTGAAAATGTTACCTAATTATTGATTTAGAGACAAGTTATCACCTTCAGGCTTTTTTTTACTTTTCTGGGGAAAACGTGCAAAAATGGGCGTTTTTGGAATTATATGTATTTCCATAGAAATGCATGTGAATGAATAATTTCATAAAAGATATATTGATTCATTAAAATTGTGGGACAGCTATAAGCACCCATCTACTAATTACATTGAATTTTTTCATCAAATGTACTCAAAAAAATTTTGAGATAAGACAAAACAAATATGATAGAACCAACTGAAAATGACTCAAAAATCGCCATATTTATGGTTGTTAGACACATCTTTGTTTGCAAAAAATAGTTTGGTGAGTAAAAGCATATGGAATAATTGAATGAAATCTGGTGATAAATTTAAATGGTCGCCAATTACTATACTAAAGGGAAGAGTAGACAGTCAGGCTATGTATGCAAACCCCACAGAAGCAAAATGTTGTGAATTTGAAGACAGAAAATATCAGATTTACCTTCCATATTCTTCTTCAGCCTCCTCTGCATTCAGTGTTTTATATGTTATTGTTGGTGTGAAATTATACCAAGAATCCAATGGGAACGCCTCAAAAGCACCGTCTGGACCTTGCATGAATATGTAATACGATGAATTATCTGTGATTCCTCCTTCCTTTTTACCTTTATACCTGATATAATCAATGGTAAATAAACAGATAAGGGCATGCAACTATGGTAAAAACCCTATAAAAGATCAGGAGATAAACTGCTACAGAATACAGGAACAGGAAACTACAGTATTTTTTTGATCTTGCATCTCAATTTAATTTTGATCATTTTGTGAGCATGGTTACATTCAAATAATTCAATCTACATTATTAAAATCAAGAAAATTATATTTATTGAAAGATGAATTTCTGAACAAAAACAAGTCTATGCAAAGGTATATGAACAGTACATGGTATAGCTGAACCAGCCTGTTGTGAAAATATTTAAAGCAGCATTTTTTGTAAACAGGTTACATAAACTACTGTAAAAAGTATGATTCTGCGGTTACACACAACTAGACGCCCACATAATCTTAGTACTACGGTAGTAGTAGAATGTGATTTACCAAGAGGCATCACACTGAATATTATTATAGTCCCTTTGATGTTTGCAATGGCAGCCTGTCCATGTATTCTCTCAAGTTAAATTCTAGAATGGCAATTAATTTAGGACATGAGAATACTCACCTCTTTCCATTTTTTCCAGATTGTTTTAGAATCCATGGCTGATGTTCGGGTTTGTAAGATTTCGTTATTATGCCATATTTCTTTTTCCGTGCTTCTTCACGTCGTTCCCGTCCAAATTCACTGCCAGCTCCATGAGTTGGTATTACTTCATCATCGGGTTTGAACTCTCTCATGTTATTCTCTCTTTCAATTTTAGTCTACGAAATGTAAGTAATAAAGCATTACAGTGGCCCAAAATGATTCAAAATGAAGGGGAATCCTCAAAATGCTACCTCTAAATCTGAAGACAACAATAAAGTTACAAGAATGATGCGATGATTTGAGACATTAATGTAATTTAATATCATAGGCATACTGGATATTTTTACATTGTTTGTAACATCATGAGAGACCTAGGCTCAGAAATAAAATGTTTTCCTCCGGAATTTGCTGATTAGTAATCTTTGTTGGTTTGTGGAACTCTTTGATCATCTCTTTGAGTGCAACTTAAATATTTACTACACCCAACTGCATTGGAAACGCATTTCCAACAGAAAGCAAGTAAACCAACATTTCAATATATTGTATCATGGAGTATTAAAAATATGGCTTATTTTGACTGTTTTTATTAATACATGTATATGACGCAAAATAATAATATACCTGCGGCCATTTTGAAATATCTATTTTTTCATTTGAATTGATCTTCATAATGCTGTATTTCTTGCCAGTATTCCTATAAAATACCATAGAAAACAATAGAGTCATGAAAACAAAAACATAGGAAACAATAGATTACTGTATAATCTAAAAGTAATTGGTAAAAATTAGACCATTATATCCTGGCACTACGTTGGGTCAGTGACTATTCAAATTACATGTATGTATCACGGATGTTTGAACTTGCAATCACCTCAGTTTGTTGACTCATTGTGAAAAATCTTTCAATTTAAAAATGAGGCTATTTTTCTATAGCTTTGTTACCATTATTAAACTACTGATCAATATTATACTATGGCATACTGTAAAATACTTTATTTTCGCCTGGAATTAATTTTCGCTGAAGGAATGTTTCAGTGAAAATAAAATCCAGTGATTTTCCTACATTTTACATTCAACTCTAATAAATTCCATACAAAACACCCAAAAAATCTTTTCAGTGAAAATTAATTCCAGGGAAAAATAAGGTATTTTACAGTATTATCATGCCTATCTCTCCTCACCTTCATCACCCGTCCCTTTAAACTGATTTTTACTTACATTTGAACTATAATTCACTTAGGTACTCTTACAGAGAATAATAACTCACTTGGGTATTCTAACAGTGAATTAACGGTATACATTAACTTACTTGGAGGACGTTTGCCTCGGGATGCCCCAAGTGACGTGGCAGTAATGACTCGTGGCAACGAAAGATTTCTTCGAGGAAGTAGATTACCAGAATGTAATCTGAGGAAGTAGTATCACGTGATCGTATTGGTCTGTTGCTATGCGATTAAAACACCTTTTTACCTATCGATTTCGTCGTTCGCTATCTTTTTCTCAAACTTCCCTGGCTCTGCAAGCAGGGCGGTAAAAGCTTCCCCGAGTCACCCCAATTGTGACGTCACCTAGCAGTCGAACGAAAACTGGGCAGGCGCAAGGCACCCGGGGTCGCCCCGATGCCACGACGCGAACGCACTCCTGGATACTCTACTCGAGAATTATACCTTACATAGGTACTCTAACAGAGAATTATAACTTACTTGGGTACTCTAACAGAAAATTATAACTTACTTGGGTACTCTAACAGAGAATTATAACTTACTTGGGTACTCTAACAGAAAATTATAACTTACTTGGGTACTCTAACAGAAAATTATAACTTACTTGGGTACTCTAACAGAGAATTATAACTTACTTGGGTACTCTAACAGAAAATTATAACTTACTTGGGTACTCTAACAGAGAATTATAACTTACTTAGGTACTCTAACAGAGAATTCATTGTATTCATTAGAAGGAGCAGCAACACCAAAATTACCACCAGCCTGAAAAAAAAGTTATAAATAATGAGTGTAATTGACAGGGTCCATAGCACTAAGAGCCAAATGATTTCCAAGACTTTTCCAGACCTTTTCCAAACTTTCTTGCATTTTTCCAAGACATTTTGACCCTTAATTCGGGCGCGGGGATAGCAATCACTACTGACACTAGTCGGAACTGGGGTAGAAAACACTTTATAAAAAACGACTATGCAGAGAAAACGGGCCTTTCTAAAATGAATTACCGATAATAACTATGAAGAAATTTAAAAACTTTTCAAAGATTTTTTCTGTAATTTAAAGACACTCAAAGACTTTCCAGAGCTCAAAAAATCCAAAGACTTTCAAAGGATTTTCCCATCACTACGGACTCTGATCGAACTGTTTACTGGTATTAAACTGCGACTTAGAGTGTGTAAAATGAAAGATGGCAGCCAGATTTCAGTAAGCAAATGATGCTCGATTGGTGGTGCTTTGCGAATTCACTCATTTCAACAATCAGAATGCATAGATACGGTATTTTTTTGTCGTACTCAACCATGAATATACAAAGGCTACAATTGTGAAGTCAGTTTTACAAGTTAGGTGAGATTTCAGAATAATTTTCACCTCTTGAGTGTTCATGACAGAATACAGAACAAAGTGTGCTTACTTTACAATTCGTTTGTTTATGAATTGTATTTAAATAAGCGTCTTTCCGATTGTAATATTTTCAAAAGATGTTTAGATCAGTTTTTATTTTAGGAGGAAACAGGGGGTGAAATGAGCATCAGTTTACATAGTGGACAGAGGCAAACAAATTTTGAAATAGGAATTACCATAAGCACTTGCTGCAATTTCTGGGATTGAACGCATCCTCTTAAAATCTGTGAATTGTAGTTTCATGGTAGATTCCAGCAAGATTTCATATATTGATCACAATAAAAAATCGCTTACTGCTGAGATTTCCCGTTTTTGACACCATCCTCTCATCGCCATAACTTTTCCCTCCAATATTTTTGATGCCATGTTTCCCATATTTGTGTACCAAATGTTAAATATGACAATAGTCATATAGTTAACTTTGGTGTCGAAATGATTACCCCCCGCCCCACACCGGTCCCCCACCCCACTCACAAGCAAATGTCGTCACTTATTATTGATTAAAGGCTTATAATGAGTGTGACAACATACGAGTTGCTTACCCGTGATGTGCTAGCCATTTCACTACGTTGCGACGTACACAATACAGCCACGAGTTCTAGCTTTTAATTTAAGTCATCATCATCACCGTCTGGACTAAGACGTCGTATACTGGAGAACGTTACTTCTTGCTGGTTGGTCACAGCGTATGCTTGCAAATACTGTATTTGAACGGTATGCCGACAACAATGTTGGAAGCGATCAACAATTTCTGTGATGAAGCAGAAGCACATTTACGAACAAAACACTTCTTTTCAAACACACAAGGAAAGATACTCCACAACCTTTGACCTAACTATTGTGACATTTCCATCAGTCGATTCGACAGATCACAGCCTATTTTATTTTGACATAAAAACATGGGAGAAAGTATTAAAGTACACTAAATAGTTATTTGAAATTGTTGTAATTAATTAAGAAAGTATTGTGATGACACTAAATCCTCCTCATGTTTACAGGTGATAGTGCCCTCAACGATAACTTGAACATACACATTTCAGTTTAGACAGATGCATTTTATGCAGCAGTTTTTTTAATTAATACGCCATATATACAATGCATTGGCCACGCAACAAATTTAGCTTTTAACGTGTGAGGTCTCGCAAAAAATGTTTTTTTGTTCAAATCTATTGTCAAAAAATAAGGCGGTAAGGCGATTTTTTTTTTACAAGAGGTTTCATCACTTTGTCAACGGAGGGCGCTGTACAGTCTGGAAATTAGTAAAAGCACGCTAATAAATAAATGAAAACATAATATGAGTCAATTGGGATATTATTTCATTTGAATTTTAGCGTGTACTTCTTTTCATGGAAAACATTCACAATACCCTATTACCCCGCATTAGTTGCCGGTAATTGCAGCACGGAAGTTTCTGGCAATAAAACACAAAACTGTAACACAATCTCTATACAATGCATGCTCCCGAGACTGAAAACATAGAAGTTACAGTGGTCCTGGATTTGCTAAATACATACTAGTACAGTATATTTATTTATTTTCACTACACTGGCTTTACATTGACAGTTTGGTTTCTACACTACGAAAAAAATAACAGATTTTACAATGAGAAGATAAAGAGTGTCAATAACACTTACTGAGAACACTTGTTTATTTATTTTCTAAATAAATTATCCCTATATTTGAAAACATCTGGTTGTTTGCAGTTCATGGAATACATTTAGTAGGCTTCATCAACAATATATATATTCGTCACGTGGAATGTTATGGTAACGCCCTCGCTCAATAAACTATCTAAGTGTTTAATATTGTATCACACTCGTTATTTATTAATATTTAGCTCAAACTAGGGATTTCTTTTTCATAACTACTAGTAATTAGCTGGATATCTAAATGTACATCTTCGCCAGTCAAATATATGCATAGTGTATACCGCCATCAACGGTAAGAAACAATAATAGAGCAGTAAAAAAGTTTCTAGAAGCAGGTTCTCACCTAAATTTCACGCACTATATACAACTACAAAGCTTGAGTCGCCCTATATATATGGAAGGTAGATAGTATCTATATTTATATATCGTCTATACATTGTAAAAGGGAAGTATAAATAGTGTCAGCGTATTGCCAAATAAATATACTAATAGTTTTCTCACCAAGTTGAACTGTGTTTCAATATGTCTGATCGTGGTAAAGGATCTGTGCATTAGTCTAGAGCATGTATGTACAAAGTTTCATCAAAATTTAAAGGAAATATCAACCCAAACAATATAATGACCTCTGAAAAAGAAGCTCTACAAATGTAGGAGAATGCAATTTACAGTTTTTTTATATCACTTTTCATTCTCTAGATATTCAACTTTTCATCAGTATTATAAAGTCAGCCATCTTGATTTTCACGTAAAGGGTAAAGTATAGGTAAAGTATGACATCATAGACTCTGTTGTCAGAAATTGAGAAAATGATTTCATCTATAACTACAAAAGTTTAACTTAAAATTGGCTGTAAGTTTAGAGATTGGTAGCATACATGTACTGGTGCCATCCATATTTATAAAATAGTTGTCATGGAAACAGAACTGAGAATATTGATTTTTATGTTTTTCTACCAAATTCTAAAATTTTCTTATATTGTATACAATTTACCAATGTGAGTAGGTTAAATAGGTGATATATCACATGTTGACCACAAAAAGGGGACACAAAAGTGTCATTTTATATTTCACGACTAAAATATCAATTTTTATTTTTTTAACGTTTTTAGCAATATCTTGACTTCATGTGTATTTGTAATTTTCTAATTACCACTACTATAATTATATACATGAGTAATATGCACAACAAAAAATTGAACTAATTCGCATCAGTATTTCTCATGTTATAGATGAAATATTTCTCAATTTTTGACAACAGATTCTATGTCATATTTTACCCATAATCCTTTGCTTGAGAATCAAGATGGCTAACTACATAATAATGATATAAAGTTGAATATCTAGAGAATGAAAAGTGATATAAAAAAAATTGTAAATTGCATTCTCTTACATTTGTGGAACTTTTTCTTAAGGGGTAATTACGTTGCTTAGATTGACGTTTCCTTTAATGAATGGCTCTTTAGATATCAGTGGAACAGTCAAGGAACAGCTAAAAATTAGCTAATTATCATGCAAATCAGGTAATTAATATCGAGATGCCAGTGGAACGGACAGACACATACAGGCAGGGTAACTGCAAAAACTCCCATTGTGTGCTTCGCACACGGGACTCAAAAATTAAAATTATACGGTAGTTCTCTTTTTGGAGGATGTGGTGGCCCTGAGAAGGGCCGTTTGATTTGGTTTGAATTCGGTAAATCTAACCACCAAAACCGTACAGAGTACGGCCTTGGCGTTTCAAGGCGTAGACGACATCCATGGCTGTGACAGTCTTTCTCTTGGCGTGCTCGGTGTAAGTGACGGCATCACGGATGACATTCTCCAAGAAAACCTTCAACACACCACGGGTTTCCTCATAGATGAGACCAGAGATACGCTTCACACCACCACGACGTGCAAGACGACGGATAGCTGGCTTAGTGATACCTTGGATATTATCACGAAGAACTTTACGATGACGCTTGGCACCTCCTTTCCCCAGACCTTTTCCTCCTTTACCACGTCCAGACATCTTCGTAGGATTTAGAAGTAAAATCAACTGCCAAATGCGACGAGGTTTTCTTCTCTTATACAGTGGTTGCGAACGTGAAAGAAAACATGTTTGGTGGCCTTGAACAGCCCCAAATTATTTATTTGTAGGCGCTATCTCTGATCTCTAAGTTTACGATTCAATCAGTCTCGCTGCTGATTGGATATATGTCTCGGCCAATAGAAACTCTGCTAAGGTGGGGTCAACAAACTTTTCAGAAATGTCGGACACGAGGAACAACATATTTTGTATACTAGTATCCTTGGAAGTAAAATAAATGTAAATTATTCTATTTAGATGGGAATGTTAAGGGTGGCGTTATAATACTTTATAATACCTTTATTTCTTATTTTTGTAATTTTATCATTCCTCGTCGTGTTTTGTTTTGTGTGTTTTAGTTTTTTCAGACGTTTTTTTGGTGATGTGCCCTTCTGTGTCAGTGTCGTGTCAATAAAATATATTAATAAGTTATTTTATCTTCTTAAAATGTGTTGGCATATAACGAAAGATAGCGTGTAACATTTGTACATTAATTCCCAGTCACTCTATCAGTGACTGTAGAGAGTTTGAGCTTCATTTATTCTTTTTACCTCCATTTAAAAAAACACAGTCCCTCAAGCAACTAGAACCTTGTAAAAGACTTTCCGTGTAGAGCATCCAGTCAATTATTTTCTATTGTTAATGTGTAAACTTGACGATGGACCAACGCAGTCCAATCTTAGTTTAATTTCACACCCTATTGTTATTTTCCCGCGTCCCCGTCCTCGTTACGATGCGTTCATTCATTGAATCGCTAATGGTCAGTGACTGAATGGAGACCCACGCAATCAAAGGTCTTTGATGCAACCAAGGTTCACTAAACTCGAGACCAACCAAAAGCGCTGAAATATTTATAGACATGAAGCTCCGTTTTTATAGACGACCAGCGCAGCCAAGATGAATCATGCGATTAAAGAGAAACGATAATTTTCCACTGGACAACCACAAAAAAAAATATATTTATTATTTTAAAAACACAATCCGATAGAGACATAGATTCTTCTCTTCTATTTATTTTAAAACAAATCTTCCGGTCACCCCTTCTTAATTTGAAATGGCCGACCTTTAACAATATCGCCCAGAGACTCTGGTAATAATAATAAAAGGGTTACGGGAAAAGCCCCAAAATGCAGGGGTTTCGTTAAGAGCCTGCTACAAGCCCAAGCCTTCTACTTTCTGGACTCCATTGACCGCCTTCACCGGTCTCGCTGAGAGCCTTTTTATTTATTTGTTGGCCTGTTGTTACAGGATGATGGCCTTCTATTGAACGCATTTGTGAAACCCCTGCCAAAATGTATCGACTGCAGGGGCATATCCAGCAAAATGTATTGGGGGGAGGGGGGGTCCAGGCCTATTGGTCGAAGACACGGGACCGCGTGATTCGGACGATGTTATGCGTAATCCAGATGCATTTTCATGCGTTTTGGTGGGGGGCTGCCCCCTCTGGATCCGCCACTGATCGACTGAATGCATTTGGTCTCTTGACCGTGCAAGGGAATTTACAGATAGTTTCCAACTTGAAGGAAACATCGCTGGTGGGTGGGGTGTTCTGATGCGATTACTATTTCTATGTTTAAACATATTTTGCCGAGGACATCTCACTTCTAAGTATTTTTAGTAAAATATTCACATCAATCTTAAATAGGCGTCTTGCCTTTGTGGATTTTTCAAAACATTAGACAGAGTTTAGCGTCAAAGATTATGGTGCACCAGTTTGTTGAAGGGCGGCATCAAGGGAGAATGTTTAGAATGCTATTTAGCATTTATACTGATATCAAAACACGTGTAAAAACATGTAACAACAAACTTGTTGATTGCTCTATTGGTGTAAGACAGGGATGTACTATGCCCATTCCCCTTTTCATAATTAATCTAATTTTAGCATCCTAGATCCAGATCAAGGAGAGGGACATAGCTGTCATTCTGTGACTATTTTACAACGAGTGTTAACTAGTTTGAGTTAGTTTTGTGATTTGTGGAAGTTGACTGTAAATTTATCCAAGACTAAAGTTGTAGTTTTTGAAAACGGGGGTTTTATTTCAAGTACATAAAAATAGGTTTATAATGCCGAAAAAGTTGATATAGTTTCATATTATTTCATATTATATTATT